GGGTTCTGAGGTTATTCAGTGAGAACGGTGCTCTGAGTTTAATAAACAGTTGCAATACTGTGTTTGAGTTGTCATCTCTTCATTGCTTTCTGGCTATGATCACTCGGTTGTCTTCTATGAATGATTGTTGGGAATTGCGTGGAGAGAATTCACTGTCTGTGTTTTCTGTCACTTCGCTCCCCTGAGTCTTCCGCTGCGTTTCTTTGAGTTGGGCGGTGTGATACTCCATTACCTCTCCCCTTCCTTCTGTGCATGTATGGGCGTGTACGGGAGTTCCTGTGAGTGAGTGCTGATCAAATTTCGGCAGACAATCATGTTCATAACATGTCTATAGTGAGTTAAGAGACTTGAGTCTTGTGGGCAAGGGCGCCGGTTTGAATCCGTGCTAGCTACCTCTTATCGGTATTAGCAGGGTCGTCGCATTGCTTACCTTTGCCCAGGTGGTATTATTATTCTTTGTATCATTTTACTGATATATACCACACGAAGCGTGGAGGCGCCGCCTGGGGGGCAACGGGGCTCACATCGTGTCGACGAAGCGGGGAGGAATGAGCATTTGTTGGAGTCACATTACGGCATAGAATGCAGGGCCAAATGACAAAAAAGAACGGGGGGAAGGAGGGGGGCTTGGTGGAGGGAGAGCGGGTAGCCCCTATCATTATCGTATCCAGCTGAGGTCACCAGGATTTGAACCCGTGATCTGGTCGCTAGCCGACCGTTGTGTGTGCCATTCAGCATTCTGCCACTGATTGCCGGCTTAAAAAAAAAAGAAAAAAAAAAGGGCGACGGCCTTGAGATATCATCATTGAACAGACCGGTCCCTGGCAATTCAGAATGATTATATTCTCTACATCCGAGGGCATCTGGATTCGAACTTGAGTATGTATTTCAACAGTTCAGGGGTGTACCAACTGAGCTAGGCGCGTCGGTGTTGCCGGATTTTGTCATTTGATGGCTGATAGATTTTTTCATTATTTTTGTCTTCCTGTGCTGCTGTCGATCTGACGCCCGACTTGAATAACCTACGGTGCCGTTCCAGGTATGTGGGAAAGCTTGCGGGACGGTTTTACGATGAAGCTGGTAGGGGCACCAAGGCCTTGGAAGATTTGCACAGTGAATTCAAGAAAGCGGAACGCATGAAGGAGCTGCAGATCGCAGAAGTGGGGAAATATCCAACCTGCAACAGCCGTTGGTCGTCGGCAGAAGGGGGCTTTGTAAGTTCGTGTTTGTTTTTTGTTGCTTTCCATAAAACTCCAGCTGGTACTGCTAGTGGTGGTGATATGAGACCCCCCCACAAGTAAGGGATGTTTTTTTTTTTTTTGTGAAGCCTCTCGTGGGTGCTAGCGGTGTTGATAAGAGAAACCACCGCTAGTACCCCTAAAGCGACTCCATCTATTGGTGGGGAGTGTCACCTGCTGGAAACCGGGTCCAGCAT